CTATCTATCTATCTATCTATCTATCTATCTATCTATCTATCTATCTATCTATCTATCTATCATCTATCTGTCTGTAAAACACTGGCAAAGATCACATCTTGAAAACTGAAATTATATCTTCTAATGAATATTCATGCAATAATATTCCTCCCCCCCCCATGTAAGCTATGGTGGGCAATCTGGTATTCTTCCAGATGTTTCAGATTTTATTGCTCATCAATTCAAGTCAACTGGTGGCTGTGGGCTGTGGTCCAGAACATTAGGGGGCAATAGATTGCCTATTCCAGATATAAACAAGCCTAATCTTTAACATCACTAATATGTCCAGCAGTCATTAGTGTGGCTAAAGTGTATGGCACACGTGTCCGAAGTGACACACAGAGACATGTCACTTGGCATGTGCAGCGCCACCCGTTCCTCTTCTGGGTTTCTGGCGTGCATGTACACGCAACGATCAGCTGGCCTTTGTGCATGCGGCAGTGCTTGAAACCGGAAGAGCTGATCTTCCATTTTCCGGAATGAGCATGCACGCCGGCCGGGTGATGGGCGCATGTGAATGTGCAGCAGTAATCAGAAGACTTCCTGGTCAGTGCGCATACGAGTGTTGAAAACCAGAAGTTTATTTCTGGTGCACGCATGCCTCCTGGGCAGCTCCTGTTCCTGGTCGCGGCCCAGATGAGCGTGTGTGAAGCACGAAGCAACAAAACATGCCATGGTGAACTCTGAAAGCAATTGCAATTAATGTGACCTGGTCTGCTTCCTCCACTGACCAGCTGCCCTTCTCAGGCAATATTTCTCATGCGGGTAGGGAATTCTGGGAGTTGAAATCCACACTGCTAAAAGTCACCAAATGGATAAACATTCCCCTAGGGCATGCTGTGAAGACTACCTATATTGGATATTTTGGTATTAATCGAATGACTGTGGGGCATTTGATTAATACCAAAATATCCAATATAGGTAGTCCTCGAGTTACGACCAAAATTGACCCCCACATTTCTCTTGTTAAGTGAGACTTAAATTAAGAGACCTTTCTTGCCACAGCTGTTACGTGAATCACTGCATTTGTTAAGTTTGTAACACAGTTGTGAAGTGAATCCGCCTTCCCAATTGACTTTGCTTGTCAAGAAGGTTGCAAAAGGTGAGAGCACATGGCCTTGGGAGACTGCAACCATCACAAATGTGAGTCAGTTTCCCAGTGTCCAAATTTTGATCACGTGACCATAGGGACACTTCAACGGCTGTAAGTGTGAAAAACCGTCATATAAGTCATTTTTTCAGTGCCGTTGTAATTTCGAATAGTCGCTAAATGATCTGTTGTAAGTTGAGGACTACCTGTAGTTGTAAGTTGTAAGGACCGGCTGGCCCTACCCACCCCTCCCCTCTCTGGAGTCCCATGCAGACCACTCATCTTGTCAGGTAAGTGCAGGGCCCGTATGGAGGCTCCTGGTGGGCGAAAACTCCTGGAGGTCTGGAAACAAGTCCGTTTCTGGCATCTGGAGGGCCTCTGGGGCCCGGGGGAAGCCGTTTTCACCCTC